AGGTGGCAAATGTATGATGTTATTTGAAAACAATACATCATGTAGGTGGCAAATGTATGATGTTATTTGAAAACAATACATCATGTAGGTGGCAAATGTATGATGTTATTTGTAAACAATACATCATGTAGGTGGCAAATGTATAATATTATTTGTAAACAATACATCATGTAGGAGGCAAATGTATGATGTTATTTGAAAACAATACATCATGTAGGTGGCAAATGTATGATGTTATTTGAAAACAATACATCATGTAGGTGGCAAATGTATGATGTTATTTGTAAACAATACATCATGTAGGTGGCAAATGTATGATGTTATTTGTAAACAATACATCATGTAGGTGGCAAATGTATGATGTTATTTGAAAAAGAAGTTGTGTTGAATTGGCCATCGGATATAGCATTTCTAGGCCGACTTGACGTGGTTATGTATCTATACATCCCCACAACAAAACCAATCCTCTCTTCGCAAGTGTTTTATTGGTAGTATATTGATGGACGGAAGGTGTCCAGGTGACCATATTCCTTAACCCAAGTCATCATTTAGGTTCAGGGAATCAGTTTTAATATTTTGGCATATGGACAGCTTTCGATGTTTTATATGTACAATTTACATGTATCATAAACAAATCTAATTTTATTTAATGTTTAATATTGATAATATCTCTAATATAACATTTCAGTCCCATGAAAATGATTAATTTTCCATGGTCACATTTATATATAGTTTAGAATGATTTATGTGCCCGAAATTTAAGCTTTTTCCTAATTACTAGTATACATTATCAGATAAAAACACAGGCATTAAATATGAAAAAGCAAAAACATCATTCACCTAATTAAGGTAAGCACTATGGTATTAAATTCAACGATTCGATTTTAAATAGATTTTTAGTTGAACGCAAGTAGTGTCAGTGTGGTATCAACTTTTAACTAAGGATACCATTATTACCCAACACGTGACACATCTATTATATTTTATACAACACAGCAAAATGTAATAATATTGGCTAATTGATTACTGAATCGGCAATTATAACATCCATAATCAGGTCAAGAACAGGGATACGCAATTCAGCAGAGGGAAAAGACGCTCTGATGATTTTGACTGCCAAATTCAAATGAGAATAATTCAGTTGTTATCGTTAGTTGCTGTATATGATATTTGTATTGTTTTACATTTGTCATTTCGGCCCCTTTTACAGTTTACTATGTGGTATGGGTTTTACCCATTTTTGAAGGACGTATGTTGACCTATAGTTGTTAATTTCTATGTCATTTGGTCTCTGGTGGAGAGTTGTCTCATTGGCATCATAACACATCTTTCTTTTTTTTATAGTAGGGCAGATAGAAATTCTTTAAACGAAATACATTAACGACTCGTAAATATGTAAACTGGCTTAATTTATTGAATCATCCTCAGCTAACATGATCATCCTGATTCGAAAAGATTAAAAATTAGTTACGTCAACTTCACATTCTTGGGTAATAAAATATTTGGCTGCCCTAGCCTATGTCATTAAAGTATCTCAATTATCTTGTTTTTTTTTTTACAAATTTAGGGTACTCGTATTTGAAAAAAATGCTCTAGCAGTTTTATAAGGAAGAAAGACTGATATCGGTAGTCCACACGTTCGAAGACCAGACTGTTTAAGATCTTGTTTAGGTTCGTTTTGTTTTAATGGTCTTAAAAGTTGAATATGTTTGGCTTACCAGACTTTTGTACCTACTGAAGGTTATTCCAGAAACACGCGTCGTACACACTGAAATTGGTATGATACTTTTTCCAAACGTCGCGATCACAAATTGTTTGATTGTAACAGTTTCTTCGTGTGTAATCTAAAAAAAAATCTTATTCCGTCGTATATTATCATTTCTCTAATTCTTCGTCAATTTATCCCTTTCTGCACCCATTGTATAAAAAAAATTTAATCAACGTGTGGTTCGTTTGATCTCAGTTCTTCATTGGTTAAAATCCGATTATGACGTCGAATTTACTTGCTTTCCTCTGAATTTCCTATTGTGACGGCATGAAAAAAGGCGACCATGCCTGATGACGTCACATAGAAAGAACACATCTTTTTGCAGATCATTCAAAAAGGAAGAATAAGTTTGCCTGCATATAGTTTGAAAATCATTAATTAGAGAAACAGATTCCACCACCAAATCTCGTGTAATACGATATTTATCCACTCTCGACAGTTAAATTTTAAATATTTAAAACGCTCGGCGAGCCTCGCGTTTTAAATTTGAAAATTTAACTGTCTCGAGTGGATAAATATCGTATCACACTCGATGCAGTGGTAGAATCTATATTTCTCTAATTCTTCGTCAATTTATCCCTTTCTGCACCCATTGTATAAAAAAAATTTAATCAACGTGTGGTTCGTTTGATCTCAGTTCTTCATTGGTTAAAATCCGATTATGACGTCGAATTTACTTGCTTTCCTCTGAATTTCCTATTGTGACGGCATGAAAAAAGGCGACCATGCCTGATGACGTCACATAAAAAGAACACATCTTTTTTACAGATCATTTGAAAAGACGGAATAAGTTTGCCTGCATATTGTTTGAAAATCATTAGAGAAACAGATTCCACCACCAAATCTCGTGTAATACAATATTTATCCACTCTCGACAGTTAAATTTTAAATATTTAAAACGCTCGGCGAGCCTCGCGTTTTAAATTTGAAAATTTAACTGTCTCGAGTGGATAAATATCGTATCACACTCGATGCAGTGGTAGAATCTATATTTATCTGATATTATTACTGGACGTGTCATGTTCCTTACCTTTCATTTTCTTATAGATAATAACTGAGAATCCCACGTACCTCGGTGGTCTCACTCCGTGTCGATTTCTTGCATTTTGGCTGATTCACTCTCATATAAACATATTTTGTGTTTATTGTATCAGAACTTATGATATTGGAACTGACAACAGTGTATCTTCATAGAGATAAATTACTTTGACCTTTCTTTAAGTAACTAGAAGAATTACCGCTAGTACTAGAAGAACTACTACAAATATGAAAGGATTAAACGACCTTGACTACCCATGAAGGTCTCGCACGCTTGGTCTACAAGCTGGTTCAAAACAACATTCATGGTTTATTGTTATGGTTTAAACCACTTTTTTCTTCGGAAAATGCCTATTCAGGAATATACAGTTGTTTTTCACTCGTTCTGTTGCTTGATAACGTTTGATTTTGTCAGTTTTTATGGACTTCCCCTTTTTGAATTTACCTTGGAGTTTTGTGTCATTGTTATACCTTTTTAATGTGTTTGAGACACAATGGATAAGCGATAGTTCGTTAAAATTTAAAGATAACATGAGCCCTGAGAAAAAGAAATCACGGTAAACATGGTAAATGAATAGGCTGAGGTCAATGCAGCGGTTTAATATCTGATCAAATATCACAGATAATGTGAAATATTTTGTACTTTTCGTATTTATGATAACTTGTTTGCACAAGAAGAATTAACATCTTGATGATGTCAACTGACAGTAACTATTGTTTTACCTGCAAGAGTTGGTCGATGATTTATCTTGCTCAATTCGATACATGTTAATCAATACAGAACAACAGACAATCGTGACTAAAATGTCATGTACTTATGACTTGTATTCTGAGATCTGTGATCGATGATCAATTTTCAATTGTGTATTTATACGCCTTGTAGTGCTGAATTTTGGTATTCTCTAATACCGATATGACTGATTTCAATGGTTTTCTGGTTGGTTCTTTTTATTCGCTGATTCTGTCATCTTAATGATTGCATTATTAGGAGAGTTTTTTACGTACTAGTTTAGCTAGACACATATAGATATAAGAAGATGTGGTATGAGTGCCAAATCTCCATCCAAGTCAAAATTTATAAAAGTAAACCATTATAGGTCACAGTACGGTCTTCAACACGGAGCCTTGGCTCACACCGAACAGTAACCTATAAAGGGCCCCAAAAAATTACTAGTGTAAAACCATTCAAACGGGAAAACCAACGGTCTAATCTATATAAAAAACGAGAAACGAGAAACACTTATGAACCACATCAACAAACGACAACTACTGAACATCAGATTCCTGACTTAGGACAGGTGCAAACAAATGCAGCGGGTTTAAACGTTTTAATGGTACCAAACCTTCACCCTTTTCCGAAAAATCATAATTTAAAATCTAGTACTTCAAACTTACGATGACAGAGGATGAATCATTTTCCTTATTCATAGTTGCAATCAAATGTGTCAGTGTACTTGATCAATCCATCCGGGAGGACAGAATGATATCAAATATGTCGGTGTTCTTGTTCAATCTACCCGAGAGGATAGAATGTTATTACATATATGTTTGTTTGTGTGCCTGTCCCAACTAAAAAATCTCGTCATGCAGTTATCGTAACAACATTAATGTGCTCTGTCTATTTTGAATTTATTGTTGATTAAAGATCTACCATCATCTGTATTGAACTAAAAGATATCTTTTCGCGAATGAGGGCGTTGTAAATCTTGAGATAATTAGTTGGCAATTGTCCATTGTTGAAAATCTTGACTGCTAGTGACCACTAGATTATATATTATAGATTTTTTGGAGAACAGAACTTGTATTGATGGAATGCTGTCTCATAAGGGTGTGTACATGTACTTATGTATCGAAATTATTGCTTTGACTGTACACCGTTTTAAAGTTTATGTTAACTCAAGACCTTAAAGTTTCAGAAGTCAGACAGTGGCTACACATCAATTAATTCTTAATTACACCAAGAAACAAAATGAAAATTTCTTTTATGGCGGCAGTCAAGAGACTCCCTGATGTACATCCCGTGCAGAAGGTGATTAGACGCTTCACTGTCGTTGCTGACAACAGTTTTCTGTTTATATCTGTTGTCAATAGGATGACATTGCAAAATGTGAAACTGAAATTTTATTGACTTTTTTTTCAACTGATAATTAACGCAGCCATACCTGCAAAATAGTGTCGCTGGTTCAATAAATCATTGAAGCGTTCAGTTTTACAAGTTGGATGTCTTCATCAATATTGAGGTACGATTATCGCCAAACATCTTTACCTACCTGGAAATATACTAATTGATTTTTACAGAATCTGTGTTTACTTTCCAATGTAGACGTATTGGTACATTTGAGATTGTTGAATTATGGATAAGATGCTTTCTTTGTAAGTAAATCATTTACATATATGTAATAACATTCTATCCTCCCGGGTAGATTGAACAAGAACACCGACATATTTGATATCATTCTGTCCTCCCGGGTGGATTGATCAAGTACACTGACACATTTGATTGCAACTATGAATAAGGAAAATGATTCATCCTCTGTCATCGTAAGTTTGAAGTACTAGATTTTAAATTATGATTTTTTTTTTCAAAATGTTATGAAATATGATTCATTTCACAAGTTGTTATTTAGAATTTCCTCGTGGATTTAAAAAAGTTAAAAAAAAAAACTTCAGATTATAATTTATTATTTTTTTTTTCAAAATGTTATGAAATATGGTTCATTTCACACAAGTTGTGGTTTAAAATTTCCTCATGGATTTGACTGGTTTAACTGCTATCAGTATATTAAATAATAAGGAAGTAAGTTTAAAAAAAAAGACACTTTGTTAAAATTTGTTTGAAAAATTATATTTGATAATAAAGTTCATTTAAAAAATGCATTTTGGGAATTTATTTCTTTGATTAGACTGACGTGAAAATGTATCATTTATGATGCAGCAATACAAAGTGACTCATTTAAATGGTTTTACGATATCTTTGAAAATCTATTGATACATCAAACTGTAATGCAAACATTTTAAAAACTTTAAAAGGTTCATATTCCATTCGATGCAAACAATACCGCTATAAATTGCGTAAGGATATTTTTATGATATAATTAAGTTCGTAAATAAATCGTTAACTTTTTGTGCTATTTCAAGTGATTTTTTGTCTTTTTTCCTTTAGTTGATCGTTTTTCAATAATATGCTTACGTCATGGGACATGAAGCTAATAATATAAAATGTCAAGTGTTTAACAGATCAATTGTTTCTTGCATGTGTTTGCTGCAAACGTTTACTTTCTGAACACGTTGTTTTCAAACTTTGAAAGTCGACAAAATGGTACTTGGAAACATGAAAGTAAACAAAGAACTGAAATTTTTAAATATTGTCAAGGCGACTGTGTTACAAGGAGAATAAAATTGTCGTCACTTTCCAGCACAAAAACTTAAAAGACCTAATGATATGTGTTAGTTAATCACGTTTCCATTTTGCCTATATAGGAAATTCATTAATAATTTTACCAACAATCTCTAAATTTCTCCATATTTTGTGGGAAAAACATATCGTACATCCATTTCTGACAAAATATTTTCGATTTTATTTTTATTTTTTTTTTACATTTTTCATGAAGTTTTAGATCCACTTCTTCCTATAAATTATATACAAAATCAGCATTCATCCTTTTTCCAAAAAAGAAGCAAAGTCTTCGAAACACAGGGGCGTTTCTTAATGTCAGCCATACTTTTGATGTGGTCTACACATTCAGTATTAAATAACACTTTTAGTGATTCGATTTTTTTCAATCTTTAAAAAAACATGTTTACTAAAACAAAGAGAATGTGATAAAAGTCAGCAAAATGACTTTTTTATTTAACCGATCCATATAAAGTTATACATTTATTATAATGTCTTGCAGTCCAAAATCTTAAACAATGACCAGTTCTGGTCCGTTTTTTTTTTAAATGTGAAGGTTGAACCATACTAACCATCCAAGATGGTTTCCATCGTGAAGATAAATATGGATTACTTGAAAAGTCTTAGTAAATAATTTATGACATCAAGTTGTTTCAGATTCCACACGGATTGTGTTTTACAATAACTGTGTGCTGTCATTTGATGGTTAATTAACGCCCAATGTCAAACATTACAAGGTGAGAATAAGTCAACTACAAACAAACTGTAAGGAAAGAAGAAAAGACTTTGGATGAATAACTCTCAGACAAACAGGAACATATTACAAGTACTTTATTGATTCAGGGGTGACTTAGAGGGAAGAGGGAAAGTAATGATTATTTGGGCATATTCATATCCTAAATATTGATGATTTTAAAATTTAACATTTTTAATCACTGATTTCCTTAATTCCATCGACAAATATTTCTAATATATTTATGACATAATATATTGAATGTCTAAAAAACATTCGGATTGAGAGATGGTACGGTCTACGTATTAATACATGTGATTGCCCAAAATCTGGAGATTCCCTTTCGATGTCTGTTAAAAGATCGTTTTACATTCAGGGAAAGTGGTCATCTCCAAACACAACCCACTATGACGCGTTCAAGTTTTAGGTATTGACTATATCTCAGACATCACGACATGAGCATCAATTGGACATGATCTGGGTATAACCTGTGCACATTTTATGTTTGAACGCATTGAAAGTATCGAAAGCAAGAGAACTTCATTTAAAATTTTGTATGACAATAGAATGTAAGCAGTTTTACACCCTTGTCCTTTGATCTAGGTGGGGGGGGGGGGGGGGGTGGTTGTTGTCTAATTCTAATCATACTACTGGGACTTTTTTTATTTTGATACTAATCAAACAAAGAGTAAATTTAAAGTTCAAAATCTAATATCTTTTAAATAAGTTTCGATTACTCTCTTTACAAATTCTGTTTCACGATTTTGAATTTCAATTTAAATATTTATTTTCATTCAAAGTAAACTAATGTATGTTACAGCTGATTTTTATATATATTTTATGACACACTGTAAGTAAATCCAATTAAAGGTCAAGTAAATATACCAAGAGTCCTCGGTTCTAACAATGACATAGCATTCAATTGTACTATATATCGCTGGTTGTTATGAATTATGTATAGTAAGCTTATTTAATTAACTAGAATTAGTGTTGACAGGTTTAAAGTATTTTTTATTTTCTGATAGATAATGAACATTCAGATTATAATTTTGTATTTTAAAAACCCAACAGTTCAAAATATTTATAGACACTCGTGTAAGTGAAAAATCTTTTTCTTGGTCAACTACTTGAAAATGGATTGGTTCAAATAAAAATCTCATCATATAAAGATGTTTAACATTCGAATGATTTACTGTATAAGGGTGAGCACTTCTGTTTGAATAGGATGTTTACATTTTACGTCAACAGATTTTCAATTTCCTTCTTTGCGGTTTAATCTGTAGTAATTAATTTATATGATGTATAAAGTATAAAATCATAAATATACTATATAAATGGTTCTTCGAAAAAACAAAATGCAAACGATGAAATACCAGTGTCAAATGTCAATTCCTGTGCGCTGAAAGCATCATTTTACTTACAGGAAAGACGATGCTGGGCATTACAAGTTAATGTGACATGTAAATAAAAGTGCTCCGTGTTTACCGTTGTGATTGAAAATAGGTGGTGGTCAATTATTACGTAGAGAAAAAACTACATCCGTATAAGTACAAATAAACCGACCTAATCAATTATTTTAACAGTTGTTTAAATGAAGTAATCGATGGACATTTACACGTTGGGCTAAGGAAAAAATCAATTCATATTTCATTGGAGATTAAATACAAAAGAAAAATAATAACTGTTCAGGTGTGTCTAAGTTCAAAAATATGACATCAGATTAATGGTGCTGGCAATTAAAGAAAAATCTACAGGTGAATGTGGTTAATTACCATTACTGTGGCCTTGAATTCTAAGTATTCAATCAACCGTTCTTGTGATTTTAATATAGACCCTTATACTTATCTTTTTTAAGAAACAAACGTGACGGTACATGTAGGTCTTGGTCCAATACACTTAAATATATCCAATATTTGCTTTCAGAAAAGTAAGCCATTCGTTTGAAGTTTTTCAATGATCGGTGGATATGGCTAGTTTTCGGACTACTGGTAAAAAAATTAAAATGGCGGTGAGTAGTTAGTTATATCTGATTATATATTGATAATTGTGTTTCATTTAATCTTCCTATAAACAAAGGATTTATTTATGTTTATATTTATAAGTCTTGTGTTATATATATCATATTTTGATTCAGTTTCACGTAGCTCCATTCAATTTCAACATATTTTTTTATTTCCTTGTATTTTTTTTTTCTGATGGTCACCTTAACTTTGGTATTCGCAAAACTTAGCGTAAAATATAACTCAACATTTTCAGATGTCCAACGAACTTTGTACTGGTTTAGTTTTTAGTTATAATACGTCAGTAGAGTAACTACCTGAATAAGAAAACATTAAATCATCTTATTAAAAGACCTGAACTATGGGGGAGGGGGAAGTAATTCCAATTTTGTTTACCTTTATCTGATATATCTAACCTATTGGTAGAATAGGATGTAGATTTAAACATATTAAGGATATAGTTTTAATTAATGTTCATCTTTTCAAAATCGACAATAATGATTTGATTCCTTTTTACTGACAACTAATGATATGTTTGCAAGTTAGGTTACAAATATTAATTTGATACAGAGTTGAAACATCCATATATTCCTCCGAAGTCAAGATTAATATAGGTTCCATTATAGTTGATGACTCTTGTCATGCTGCGAGCAGACGTCAAACGTCAAATGTCTGCTGCAAATATTAATTCAGTTTGAAAAAAACTTTGCAATATATTCTTTCATATGAATATCTGTCTATGATATGCTTGTATCGTAGTTTGGTATCGTCTGCTTTAATTGTGTTTAGTAAAGGGTTTTTGATATTGCATACATTTCTGTTGAAAAATCTTGAGTTTCAGTTTGGCGATTTTTTTTTCTAGTCTTCCATTGAACTGCTTGCTCGATATATGTAATTAAAAAAAACTATTAAACATATTGTTAAAGAAAAATATGATAAAATAACTCTTGAAAGATAATAGTTCAAAACTTTACCTTTATAGTAAACTTGAAAATGAAATTAAACTGGAAGACTACTTGCATAATCTAACAAAAATTAATAGTCGTCAACTTTTAACCAAAATTCCGTATAAGTGACCATATCTTGGAAATTGAAATAGGTCGATATAAGAAAATTCCAACAGGACATAGAGTGTGTAAAGTTTGCAAAATTTTAGATGATGAGGAACACTTTTTTCTTCATTGCCAGATCAGCAGTAGTACTAAAAATTCCCTTATAAATGCAATTAAAACCCATTATCCTAATTTTAATAAGCTTGACTCAAACTGTAAACTTAAAACTATTTTTGATCCCAATAAAGATATTTTGTCTAGAGTTTTGGGCTATATAAACAATCCATGGAGTTGCGAAAATAAGGTCCACATTGGTCAATTATCTATATACTTATATATATATATATATATATATATATATATATATATATATATATATATTATTAATATTAACTTGACTTGTTTAGAACTTTTTTAATGTATTGTATGTTTCTTGTGTACATGTCTGTTATGTTTGCATTTTAACCCGTCAGTGTTTTACTTTTTGCAATAAAGTTGTCCTATGTAGCAAAATGTACACGAGGGTCTGGGTGCGGGGTCCTTCATTTATTTATTCTTTATTGTTTAAGACCATTGTTCATTTTTCTTTATTCGTTTTGTTCATTATTCTCTATTCTTTATATTTAAACACCCCGTTATTCTCTTTTTTTAGCCTATTGTTCTCTATTCTTTATATTTTTTGCCCTTTATTCTGCACTTTTTGCCCATTATTCTCTATTCTGTAAAGCCTACCAGACCTATATGAATTATATTCTTATTCCCTCTTACATTAAATCATTTGTTTTGGTCCTCAAATAGATAAAAGGTCAGTCTCTTTGGTATCTCCTTATCGAAATTTTTGAAGCAAAATATCCTGTTAAAGTGAAGTACTTGCTTAAATATTTAGATATAAGCAATGCCTTTACTCAACAAGAAATTTGCTACAAACTTATCTAAAATTTTGGTGTGATTCATAAGTTGCTCATAATGTCATTAGACACTAGCTGTATTGAAAGACATTTGTTTTCTCTTAATTATGCCAATTATGGCATATTGATAACGTCACTCTGACATCACCAGACACTGACAAAACTTAACTAGACATTTTATATTACAGTCAAAGAACAATTAAAAGGTATCCACTTCTTTTGAAAGTTTTTTTTTTAAATTTATTTTAGGTACCCCAAAAAGATTTTACATGTACCGAAGTGAAATGTTCCTGATTTTGTTCACAAATTTGTAACATTAAAATAAGCAAATCTTAAAATTGAAATCAGATAAATGAGAATTTTAAAGAAAAATGATCTTGGTGGCACTGAAAGTCACATAAAAGAAATGGAATTGTATGAAGACGTTATTTGGGACAACGTTATATTAGGTAAAACCGACGACCTATTTCGTAATATAATTAAGTATATTTCTATTGAAATGTGGGAGTTTTTTCATTATATATTATAACTGGACCGCGGTTAGTAATCAATACTTTTAAATGATTTAAAGACCAGATAATCGAAAAAAATAGTTCAATTTTAAAATGACATAGAATTCACTTTCTTTACAATTAACTATCGTGTATTATTTAAGTGTTTTAATTTAGACATATTTGAGATCTTATATTATATATGACTATCGGGTGAGTGCAAGGTCAAACCAAACAATTTTTCGTGGATTCCGATCTAAAAAAATCAGCGATTCTTGCAAAAGTTATTATAAACGAAATAAAAATTAACAAAGATACCATTACCACCACCACCGCTATCATCAACAACAACAACACATTTACATTTATTCTGAAATTAAGATGGACCTGGACAAAGGGCGAATAATTATGACTGCCATTGGAAAACAGGGATGTTTCAACAAGCGTAGTTGAAATTTTGTTTTGCTCCAGGTTAATTAGTGACCCCTCGAATAGTTTATGCTTTGGGACAAAGTTCAAAAAGCGTTACATCCCAAAATCAAATCATACGTGACAGCGTATCTATACATCCAGCCGAGTAAAAGAAAATGCGGTCTTATAGCAATGTGTTATTGCCCGAAGAGCTATGTCCAGTGATTGGCAATTTGTACATTTTCTCTTTGATTCTCCTGACGAATATTTGGTTAGATCGCGGACAGTACGTAAAAGTCAAAAAAAATTTAGGCAATGACGTCACGTTACGATGCAGCAATGTGATGCTTTTCATGTCAATCCGCATCAATTGATCAATGAAATTCACATCGTCATTAATACAATCAAACAACTATCGCACTGTTTTTGTACACGTAAAAAGAGTCATTATCATTTTTAATATGTATATGTAATGTCATATTCCTTCCCAAGAAACATGTTGTTTAGACAAATTACCGATACAAAGGATAATGTCATTTCTATGTTTTAATACTGATTACGTCAACTCGAATACATCATCTCATCTTGGCAGACTCGCTTGATATCCTTGCTCATAGTATAAAAAAACAAGTTTGCCTTTATTTAGTATAAAGTCATATTCCGGTACCCTTCGGTAAAATTGGAAATGATATGACCTGTCTAGTTTTGATAAGTCTCAAGGGGGAGGGTTTGCACCTTCAGACATGTTTAAACCCGCCATATTTTGTATTTGCCTATCACAAGTCAGGAGCCTGTAATTCAGTATATGTCGTTTGTTGCTGTATATCATATTTTTTTCGTTCATTGATTTGTACATAAATCAGGCCGTTAGTTTTCGCGTTTGAATTGTTTCACATTTGACATTTCGGGGCCTTTTATAGCTGACTATGCGGTATGGGTTTTTCTCATTGTGTTGAAGCCCGTACGGTGACCTATTGTTGTTAACTTCTATGTCATTTGGTCTCTGGTTGAGAGTTGTCTCATTGGCAATCATACCACATCTTTTGTCTCTGGTGGAGATTTGTCTCATTGGCAATCATACCACATCTTCTGTCTCCGGTGGAGAGTTGTCTCATTGGCAATAATACCACATCTAATTTTTTTATATCAGCCTATCTGACTATGGGTCTGTTTTCTTAGTATTCAAGGGTTTGTTATGTACAAATGTAAATACTGTATTTACCTCGGTTAATGAACTTGTCAAGTTTAAGCTATCTATTATTTAAGTGTTACTTATACTATTAAATAAGAATTAGTACAAAAAGCCTTCTTTAGATATTATTAAGTTTCCATTACAGTTATGTAGTTATTTGACTTGTTAAAGTCTAATACCAAAAATGCATGTGTCGAAGTATTTAAAAAGACTGCTTGTGGGACACAATTTATAAAAGTAAATTTAACCTGCATACACAAGTCTTAAATGAGAAAATATTTGTACAGATTTCTAATAAGTTAACTCTTGTTATAGTAGAGTATATCGAACTCGGTTTTTGTAAATCACATTAACATAAGTATAAGTAAGTATTTTAATTAAAGCCCAAAGTAGACGACCTTCGATTACAATCCAGTACAACATGACCAAATAACACAATGATATGCAAAATATTTGTATAATTGCTCAGAATACAATTTTTAAATGAATTCTGAACCCAATGGCAAAATTTGTCCTTCTACCCGATTTAGTATGCAAGTTTGTGCTTGACAAGAAGCCAGTAGTAATGCCTTAAAATAGAATTCGTCATTGTCCAGGATAGATGTGGTAATTTTTAAAAGACGTTCCCAATAATTGCAATCATATAATACCAGTGTATAATACGTTACATTATTTAACCTGACTACCCACTCAAGGGAAAATCCAGTATCAAACATTTAAATGTATATAAACATTAACAAGCAATTAAATAAACTTTTTATCTGTTTTGGAAACATCAATATAAATAAAATGTTTGATTTGATTATTAATATTTATGAAAAGAGAAAATAAAAAATCGATAACCAATCAAAAGCAAGCGTTTGAGATTGTGGTAGCACTTCTAAAAAAGGTAACAAAAACGTAGGGAAGGTTGTGCAAGAAGTTTCTATAAATAAAGAAAACGGATGTAGTTTT